ACTTAAAAATAAAAATATTATACTAACGTTTTAAATTTTTATCCGACCCATTTAAAATTATTGGCGACCCAAAATTGGGTCGCGACCCTATGGTTAAGAACCGCTGTTATAAACCATAAATATTAGACTAAGTAGTAGCATTGATTCAATATACAAGTATATTTAATCAATGGTAGTAGGTAGTAAGTACTATGTAAAAGTTAAATTCAATGTTTGAATTTAAAAACTTATGTGGACACTGAGCACTGTACAATAGTATTAAATAGATATTAAGTATATAAGTGTCAAGTAGGTACCTATACTTTAAAATGAGCAATATATAATATAATAATATAATATTTCTAAAAATTATAATATAGGTACCTAATCAAATAAAAAATAATATTTAAAAGCAGTCACTGTTTATTATTCATCAATATTATTTAATTACCCATTCATTATAATCTTAAAAACACATTTTTGTGATACCTAATACCTAGGTAATTCTTTTAACAAATAATTAAAACAATAAATTGATTATAATTGTATTTTTAGAAAGGTGAAATAAATCTGCATGTATATTGTATATTTTAAAAAGCAATAGGTGCCTCAACAGTTTTTTCTTTAATGTTATTACTTTTTACATAATAAATGCTGATAAATTAGTAAAGTGAAAAAAAGTACACACACACACACACATATATATATATATATATATATATATTAAATACGTAGGTAACATTTAAAAACTTACCTTTTAATAATGATTCAGACAAAGAAATGTAGGTACGCAAAATATGTTCAGTTTTACACTAACATGGAACATTAAAACTAGGCAGCTGAAACCGGATATATATAGTATCCTATATTAGTGTTAACAATCTTCATAGTCAAACACAATGGATTTTCTTTAAATACTTCAAATTACCGTTTTTATTTTATATTGGTACTTGGTACTATGATACTATGTAAATATAACCTCGCTAATTAAGCGAGAAAGACCTTAAAAGAACTACAAGTAAACTGATAGAAAGGGTGAAAAAATTGCATAATGGTGAATGAGGGGAAAAAATAGAACATGATAGTAACGAGACACAATCATGAAATGAGACATTTGAAAGTGAATAATTATAACTTTAAAAGGGTAGCAAACTTCAAATATTTAGGGGTAAATATTAATGAGAATGCTGACAGTCCCGAAAAAAAAAAGACTATGACTGGTAGCGGCAAATAAATGCTACTTTGGATTAGTACCCCTACTCAAGTCAAAACTACTATTGTGGAAAACGAAATTAACGTAATACAAAGTTCAGATAAGACCGGTAGCACTATACGCCTGTGGCGCATAGGAAACATCAATGACGGATGAAAATAGACTAGCTACGTTTGAACGAAAGGTTTTTAGAAGTATATTTGGACCAAAAAGAAACACTCTAGGAGACTTCGAACTAAGAACAAATCGAGAAGTAGAAGAACTATATGGCGAAACAAATATAATTGGAGTCCTTAAGAGTAGTAGACTAGGATGGGCTGGACATGTGTGGAGGTCCGAAGGCTCTATAGGATTGTCCACGAGCTGGAAGCCGGACACAAGAAAGCCAAGAGGACGACCCAGACAGCCGCGGAAAGACAGGATTATAAAAAATGCATAGAAATTGAGAGTAAACGGCGGAAAAGAACTAGCTCAAGATAGAGACAGATGGAGGCAGTCGGTTGTTGCGGCAAGTTTTACAAAAAAAAAGCCCGATTCATCCTTGGTTTTATTATTTTGAGAGTCCGGCCAGGCTCGATCAGAAAAGTTCTACCAAAAAAGCCCAGCCCTGCCCCGCCAGAACATTTTTTTACGAAAACGAAAATCCGATTTAGCCCTTATTATTTTTTTAAGGCCCGACCTGGTCCAGTCTCAGTATGGGCCGGGCTTTTTGAGGACCGGGTTGGGTCGGTCCGGCCCTTGCAGGTATTTAATTACATTAGCCTCTATATTTAAATCTATTTTAAATCTGATCGGACAGAAAATTTAAATTTAAATAGTTTTAAATTAAAGCAAAACTCAATTTTAATGAAACGTAGACTTTTTTTTAAGCTCGCCTTGTACCACATGAAAAAATCACTAGTTCTACTACCTTTGATTTAATATTGTATAAGAATATTATTGTAAGCTATTTTATTACAAACCTAACATGAAACGTTAATAAACCACAAAAATCTATTTTATTTAATCCTCAAGGAAAAAAATTTTCCGGTACCGGGAATCGAACCCGAGCCTCCTGGGTGAAAGCCAGGTATCCTAGCCACTAGACCATACCGGATTATGTACATATTGCTATAAAAGGATAAGATTTAAGTCCCCAGAATAATATTTTGCCAACATTTAAAAATAATAAATATATTATACATAGGAACAATAATACAATATACAAAGCATACCTATTAGAACTGTTTATTGATATCATATTATTTTGGTTTTGTGCTTATAAAACCAGAAGATAATAACAGATTAAAACAATTTACACTACTTGAAACAAAACCTGTAAGAAATTAATTATATTGTATTTTAGTACATTCAATACTACAATATATATATATATTAGTCTAATTATAAACATATTTTATTATATGTTCTTTATTGAATAATAATAATAATCGACAAAAAATACATATAAATTTGCTTATTAATAGAATAACAAGCAGGTATTCAATAACAAAATCTATACGTCTATTAATACCTTTTTTAGTAAAGTGGTCAATTATTAAGTTGACACTTAATTCCTTATCTCGATGAATATTTAGTGAACAATACATTAAAATACATGTAATGAAGCCAGTATTTTACTCGCCTTAAAGTGGAGAAAATTTTCTCAACGGATGTTGTACTTACTTCGTATCGTGCAAAGTGTGCTGAGAAATGTAATTATTATGGAAAAAATATATTCATCGCGCTCACTTAATGCATCTAATGCTGTTAATCTCAGGGTTTTTAACGCGTGAGTACTAAATCCGTCATCATTCTTAGGTTATCTGGGGGGGAGGGTGAGGTCTCTCGATTCTCATGGATGGTTACTAACGTACTAACATGGTAATGATGTTAGCTGTTTCTAGATGCACGGACACTAAGGCACTGTAGAGGTTTATCTTTACAGGACCCTACAGACACGACATGAAATGGTGGTTCGGAACCACCCGCTCGGTCCTTCGCTCAGAACCGTGTTCACAGTCAGTGCCAGCCTTACTGGCAAACTGTGCGACCTAACCAGTGGCGTATATAGAAATTATTTTCACTATGGGCCAATTTACCCCCACTATAGCTACAGCTAGAAATTTTTTAGGGAACGGGTGATTTCAATTATGACATTAATGATACAAGTATAGGAATTTAAATGTATTAATATATATATATTTATTATTAAATAAGATACATAATAAATTAAGCATTTTTCTACAGTAGGTAATAAACGTTTTTGCTTTAAAACATAATTAGTCTTGACTGATACTGTTAGTGTTCGTATTTTTCGTTAGTCACAACTAGACAAGAAAGAATTATTTTATTATTCGTGTGTATTTTATATTACGTATATATTTTTAACAATATTTTTATATACTTATCACATAATGGCTTGAGACGTGGAAATACTAATAAGTTTAATAGAAATAAGACCATCCATTTATGATTTTGTAGACAATGACCGTTATTCAACGGATGAATCCATAAATTTTTTTTTATGATTCTGTTCTAAATTTTGTTATATGTACCACTACATGTGGATTTGCATAAACGCAACAACTTCATCAGATGACATGATAACAACTGATTTTTGTTTTGTCTAATGGTGTTTTGTCTCGGTAGTGTACACTTTATAAAAACAAATTGTTTTTAGTTGACCAACATGAAAATGACTATCACTGTTTAACGCAATTTTGCTCTTTTGGTGTGCGATCAGCCAATCGAGTATCGACAATAGACAAAAGACAATCGACGAAACAATTCCTAGCAACCCGTGATAAATTGATAACATTTTACAACAATGTAAATACTATAGTAAACAGAAATCCATTTCTAAAAATAGAACGCGCTATCAACGTACTATGTAAACCACGAACTAAGGTTGCTGAAATATCTATAGTCCGTGATTTAAATACACAGTTTTAATTGTCGTGTCCTTTCATAGTTTATTCGTATTTTGACTGGTCATTGCAATCATGGTATCAGTCAGTAACGTGAATTGTATACCTCAAAAACAACATACTAGCATAGAACAACAATAATAGTAGATACGGGCCATGGTATCATACAAATATATAATTATATAATTTAGCAATATGCATAAAAATGTTTTAATTGAATCTGAAATTTCAGTATAAGCCCGGGCCTAGCCCCCCCTATATACGCCACTGGACCTCACCACTCTTGTACGGGGTCCCACATATTATGTATGTACTACAAATATCACTTTATCTATAAATAAAAACAACAATATTGTCCCAGTAATACGTAAATTACGATCCGTGAGACTTACCCGGCGAAAACTAAGACGGTACCAATTTAGCGTAGTTATGGAGTATTACACACGTATGTACTTGTAAAGCTGTTCATCGTCGACGACGGTTGAAAATTTAGTTATGATACTATATTCAGTTCTAAAATAAAATAAATAAATATAGATTTGTATAAACAATTAATAGACTAATATGTATGGGGCACCGCAAAATTCTGCATCGGGCAGGCAGCGTTCGCAGTTGATGGCGGAAAATGTATTACGACGACGGCGCTTCAAGACCGACACTCAGTAGTCGCGATCGGGAAATTCGAATGTTGCGCGGTTGTCGCGTCGCAATGGCGTCCGTTATCATTTTCGGATGCCGTTGCGTTGGCAACGGTGTGTCGTCGGCGGCCGGGAGACACGACCCCGCTTCACCGCCGCTCGTAGACATCACGCAGGACAGGTGCGTTCCTGCTTGCAGCAGCTGCGTCGCACAAAACCGAGCTCTTCGCCCACCCCCGCCGCCATCGTTAACGCGATCAGGTGATCTATTGTCCACCGTGTTACGCCGCGTATTGTAGCGCTGTTCCGTCGCACTTAACCGAGCTCCATAACGGTGTACAACCTGCGTCACCTCGCCGTTTCTCGTATCCGACATTTTTCGGCAACGTTTCCTTTTCCCATCGGATCCGTGACACCATGACAGTGCTTACGTTCCCGTCTACCGGCGGCGTCAAGTCGGACAAAGTGCCGTTGGTGGACGACGTGGATACGCAACCGAGGCATGCCGCTCCGAAGTCGTACAGTCCCAAGTTGCTGGAGTCCGGTGAACCGAGGAACCCCGACGTGGACGTGCGTACAGATCGTGAGGCGAGGCGTAACCGCCAGCAGTGGCTGTGCAAGATGATCAAAACGCTGGTGGTACTCTTCGTCGTGCTCTTGGTCACGATGTTGGCTGTGCACTTTTACAGGCGGCTATTGTGCAGCAGCGAGTGCGCACCCGGTTACAACGACGGCGTGGCCAACAGCGCCGCGATGGCTTCGGCCAAGTCGCAGAACCTGCAGCTGGACATCGACGACCGTAGCGGCGGCGGCGACGACAATGACGACGAAGATGACGATGACGACGACATGCCTTGCAAGACTTACCATTCGTACGCCGCTGCCGAGAGCGACATGGTGCTGCCCGTGACCACGTCATCGCCCCTCGTCGCCGACAGTGGACTTACCTTAACGCTCTCAGGCCCGACTGACTACGACGCCAGCCAGTTCAACGACATGGAGGACGTGTACAAAAAACTGGAGAAATTTGCGTTGAATAAGGCCCTGCACCGGAAGGATGCCCGCGACGGTGACGACGACGACGTCGTATCCGTGTTAAACGATGATTTCGAGATCAACCACAAGAGCGGAAAGGTAGTTCAGCCGATCATCATCACCAAGTCTGCTCGGTTCATACATGACTTCAGTGTCAATATCACCGGCATTGTGGATGTTGAAGGCCAGCGGTGTTACGTCATGCCACTCATGCGCAATTCTGTGTCACCACCCATTTCACTGTACGATTTGTTGTTTAAAATGTCTAGTGGCTATTATTCCATGGACATCAAAAAGGTCATTGGCAACATGCACATTGTTAAACCGGCCCTCAAGGATCTCAGTGATTATGGCCTGTACATTTCCAAAGACTGTGCTGACTACTCTACATTCAAACTGGAAAATACTATTACTGAAGCCGATGTATAAGCTATAGGCCTCTCAAGTAATTTTACAGAGTTTAACACCACATGAATATAAATACATTTTTCTTCTTTTTATATAATCCAACAGTTGTTGCGTTTTGACTACTCAACTCTGAACAGTACGTCTGTTACCATTATTAAGATATAAGTTCCTTAGTTGAGTCGTTCCTATTATTTTGTGTTCATTTTTTTTCTGTTTAAAGTAAACATTTCACTGGTAGAGATATAGACAAGGGTCTGTGGTTGGGTCCACCTGATTTCCCATAAAATACATTTTTATCATAAATATAAGTTACTTTTATTTTTTATTTTTTTTTTGTCGTATAGTGCTGATTATCCTAATATTGCAGTAACTTTAACATTATCAGCTTCCATTTAACCAATATTTTTTATAACAGTCTTCATTATTATGCTCTTGACATACTTACTATTTAAACTTATAACAACATAAATATTAGCATTTAAGTTGGTTAATTTTTTTTTTTTTTATCGTACATCAATCGATCAATTTTAACAAAATGAATCAAATTATATGATTAAATATAGTAATTTTGTCCCGCATTTGATGTATGATAAATTTTTAGTAAGCAGTTCAGTAATTTAAAAATAATTATTGTGTAAATCTTTCATTAAAAACAAAATATCTTGTGCTCAGCACTATATTATATTATGTGTACATTAAGCTTTAGAGACAAATTATATTATATTATTTATCTCCTTAATGAGAGTCCATTACAATATTAACTCTGTACATTTAAGTATTTTAATATTAGATATATTATATATATATATTAAGTTAACATTTTTGAATATCTAATGAAAAATAGAGTTAAATATTTGTGTTTTTAAAAATATAAATTGATCATTACTATTCAATTATTTGTTTTACATGTTTTATGAATAAACTCGAATGCCAAAAGGAATAGCTAAGGATATATGAATTTGTATTTACACAATATATGTAAGTATATACCATTACTTGTAAATTGAACAGTATCCATGGCCATGTCAATATGAAATTATGTATAATCCATGTTGAAAACACTATGATGGTATTATTTTATTTGGAAAAGGTATAGTTGTACGATGAAATATAATATTTTTTAATAATTTATCTTATATTTCATTAACTATTTATTGATTATTATAAAATGAAATATTTATGTGAAACTAACATAATGAAGGAAAAGTTAGTGTTTAAAATTTTATTCACTAAAGTTTTTTACATGCAATTCTCTTAAGTGTCACTATTTGGTAGTTCTATCTATAATATATAATTTCTGTATTATAAAATATTTGCTCTGGCTTGGAATTCAAACCAAAATTGCCCAGTAATCTTATACCGATCATGGATATCAACACTATTGTTTAAATAATTTGTACAACATATAGACTCAAAATTTTTTCCAATCATTTATTTGTATTTGATCATTACACAAGATGGTATCAAGTGGTCGTATGAATGTAATACAATCAAAGCTGGAAAACAAAAGTACATTTTTTGAGAATATCTATTCAAATCTGAAATTACAATAGCAGTTCAATTAAAAGTAATTTTAAGGAAATGATAATTAAAGTATTTAAACTATACATTTTATAATCGTTTTAGGTAGTTTAAAAAAAAATTATTTGTAATACTTATGAAACTAGTTTAACTTAAATTATAACTTGTTTCAAATTTAAATATAGATTAGATCACTCAATAATTAAATCATTGGTTAAGTTATAAGGTCATTTTGGTCATAAAAATGACATTTTGACTATTTTTTTATTTTCTTATGAGTTAAACCCAGCTTTTGATGTACAACTCTTATAATTTGTAAAAAAATCTAAAATTAAAATATTCTAGTTGATGACTGGAAGAATTTATTAAAAAAAAAATTAAATTGACGTTTATACAACAAAGTTTACAAAGTAAAAAGAAAAAAAAAACAACAGTTTCAAACAGTTACAATGTGTGTTACAGTTACAATATGCTAACAAGGTAACGGTTATAGTTAAACAGTCTATATAATAATAGCACTAAAAATAAACACTATTTTACAAGACATTAATAGCAGTACAGTTAATAATTTTACAATTATATTAAGGTTTATTATACATGATAAAATTTGTACATGTTAAAATATTTAAATCTAATCTCACTTTTGTTTCATATAGTCTTTAATGTCATACAGTAGGTAACACTGGAGAGTTAGCAATATAAACCCAGGAATTGAATACATCAACATTTTCGACCATTCAGAAGATTGTTGTATGTTTGAAATATTTGATGTATGTGACAGATTCAGAGGACTTGGTTGCTGGTGGTGGTGAGGAGCATAATATGTATAAGGTGAAACGGCCTGATGACATAATGCTGAGCAATGAGATCTATAACTCTGTTGAGAATAAACACTCTGTGTATCAAATTCATAATCATCTTTCATAGAATACGATGGGTAATATCCAGGAGATGTTTCGGCATATCCTGCAAACTTGTCACGTTTTGTATGCACAAATAATTTTGGAGGTCGAATAAAATTATTTTTGACACCACGGTTATCATTGAGTTTCATCCCTTGGAATAAGTTATTCACAGATTTATTCAATTTTTTTACCCTTTTAGGAGACTCTTTTTCTGTGTAGTCTATGTCCATCATTTCTGATTCATCGCTGTTTTTACCCGATCCATTTGTACTATATAAAAAAAAAAAATGTTGATTACTTTTTGAATTAATTATTAAATCTTATAAACTCAAAGTTGTAATGACATAAATTATCATTGAATTAAATTTAATAAACTTAAAAACAAATTTTATTCATTTTAGCCACATAAATAGTTGAAGTGATTTTTGCATTAGATCTAATCAAAACCAAATTATTAATTTAATAATTGAAAGATATGTCACACAATATATCTTATTACATACTGTCAGCAATGAGTGCAATTATCACAGCATAGTGATAAAATACATCTATTACGTATTAAATAGATTAGCCGTAGTTGTTATAAATCTGTCATTTGCTACATTTTATTTACATAAGATATATTTTATACATCAAGGAATACCAAACAGATCATAAACAAATTTTAAAGAATAAATAATGATTAATTTCGAAAAAATACATCATCAAACAATAAATTCTTAATTTTTAACAATTATTAGTTTGATGCAAAATATTGATAAGATGACTAAATCACTTGTATTTAACTGTTTATGGAATAGTAAAAATGAAAATATACTTGTCAGAATCCACAGTTTAAAAAACAAGTTATTAATGATAAGAATTTGATTTATATCAATATAAATATTTTTTAATAAGTTAATAAGAAAAAAGTAAATTATGAGGTAGTGAAACATTCCTTGCGAAAAATAATATAACTGCAACTAGTTTTTAATGGAAATTAATATGTGTACTATAAATAATACTTCCAATTTTAACAAATGTTATACATTGAAAAAATTTTTAAGTACTATACTTGATGAAGTCTCTAAATCTAGTTATTTTATTTTAATTATTTGTAAAAAAAAATATTATTGCCATTGAAGAATTAGTAAATTATATCTTATTAATGTTTGTTCTAAATAACTGATAATAGTTAGACTAAGAGTATCTTAAAATGGTTGAGTCCAAGAGTGTTGGAAGTATTAGAAATTTGACTTCTAACAGGTAGTGTTAACGTACCATTTTGCCGAGAAGTTATATATTGTGTGTTTATGTCGCAATCATACTCGTCTCTTGTTGTATACTGAACAGACGTGGGGATGGCTTCAAGAAAGATTTTTTCATTAAATACTCGAGCAACTTTGAATTTTGGGAGACGCACGATGAATTGATTACTGGTAGACCCTGGCAGAAAATGATTTTCCCGTAATTGTGTTTTTGGTGACACACTATTCTTACTAAAATGATTATTAGGTTAAAATAGAGGCAGGAAAATGGTTTTATGTTATTTAATATTCACTAATCAATTTTATTATTTAATAGTTTTTATTGTTCTAATAAATTTGTACTAACAAGATTTGTTTCACTATATCCTCAAATTTACTACTATTAATGTGCAAGAAATCCTTAAGAAAAATGTTATAATGATTTTATACTAATACTTTACAATGAAATGTATGGTAACATTAAATAATAGCACATTAAAAAATTACGTTGAAAAACCATTACCTTATATCATAGTAATTTGCAGTAGGAAATTCGTAAGTTTCATCTTCTAATTTAATACTAGTTTGACGAATTTTTTGTTTTCTAGTTAAATTTTTCAGTATAGATGTTGAAGATAGAAGTACAATAAATACAGAAACAAGAAGCTAAAATATAAAATTTAAGTATAATAAATATTATGAACATTTTTCAAATTAATCTGAAATTACCTTGGGTTTGAAATTTATAAATATTTCAAAATTATTAATAACAAATAATATTGACCACAATAACATTATAATGCCACTCAATTTATCCATTGTAGTTAAACAATGGTATACTTGACACAATATACCACCTAGACTAGCCATTCCAATCGAGTATGATACTATTACAACACTGTTGTCAAAAATTGATGTGTCAATAAAATTTGCAGTCCAATCACTTAAGTAATTTTTAGCACTAGAAGATAATAGCAAAACAATAGTTGATAAAAACAATGAACATACGTTAGGCCAATCACTAACATCTCGAATATCCTATAGAAACAATTTCATTAGTAAAATTAATAATAGCCAAAGTTGTATTAGAATCCCCACTTGTTTGTTTATCCGAGTTGACTTTAAGCTGTATCGTTGTTCTTGCAAAGATAAAATTTTTTTTGAAAAAATATAACATTTTGAACACAATTTTAATGTTTCTTCCAAGTTTTCCCTATTTATAAATACAAAAAATAAATACTAATTATAGATTTTAAAATATAATTTCAGACATTACTTGAATATTTCTATTTCCCTATCAAAGTTTTTTTCATTAATAGGGGTGAAAGCGGCAAGTTGTTTTATTTTCATTTCTTGAATAATATTGCATGTATGACATAAACCATTTTTACTTTCCTTAACATTATTTTGGATTACAGTAAAAACTGTCCTATTTAATCTTTGATCATGTTGTTCAGGAATTATTTTGCTATAACTTCCATCCTAAAAAAAATATAAATATTCTTCTTACAATTAAGAATTGGGCAAATATACATGTAATATTATACAACATGATACTTACCTTTTTAAAGCCATTGAATTGTTCACATTCAATGCATGTGTATTCAAATCGGTCCTCAAATGCCACTTTAAAATTAGCATTGCAAAACCAACAATTAACATAGATTGGATAAAATTTTCTGATATAAACATAAATGTAATAGCAGAAAATAGTTAATGTTAATGGTGCCAAAACAAAAGATAATGGTTTTTCATTGATAAAATTTACATAATTTGTGATATAGTCTGAAACTAAAAATATTTAGACATTTAATATAATTATAATAAAAGTACTTTCATAAAGTTATAATTACCAATAGAAAAAAGGGCAGTGTTGTTTAAATACTTCTTGAACGGGTCCATAATATCTAAAATAAAAAAATATATATGTATATAAATAATATATTATTACAACTTTTTTTTATTTTTAATCTATTCTTAAATTATATTTATAATATTGTACATAAAAAGTTTAATTTTTTGGGGCTTGGATGAAAATTAATACCTTTTATTAAAAATTTGACTGAAAATATATCAACAATTTACCAATATCACCATATATTTTTATAAATATAATGGTAAAATTTAACACTTTATAACTGAAAAATCAACATCTCTTGTTTTTTTGTAAATAATGGAAAGCAGCTATATAATATTTTATTTCATTATATTATATTATTTTTTTTTATTTTTTTTTTTCAAATCTACATAAAAATAAAGTTCAAATCAGTTCAATCCTAATAAATATTCCAAATTTAAAACATGTTAATTTTTACAAGAGTAAAATATTTTGAAATAATATTTTTTTTTAACATGCGTATGCATATGTCCTTTGATCAGTGGAAAATTCAGATCAAATTTAAATTCAACCATTTAAAAAATTTAATAATTTTAATGCTAAACACATTGTATATAAAATGTAAGCTCAATTACAAACAAAGACAATGTTCAAAGAATATCTTACAAGATTACAATATGATTGGTAAATCATTTAAGTCATCAGTTTCTAATAGTTAATAAGTCATAACCACAGTGTTTTTTGATAACCATGGTAATAAAGATTTTGAATAAAAACCAACTACACATAATCTAATTTAATATATATAGATATATAAATTATTTACTCAGGGTTTATAATTATAGATAAAAATAAAACCAATTTTTATAATATTAATGCAGAAGATAACAACATGATTAGTAAGTTGAACATTATACTTTGATACAAACCATAGATAAATACAATTTATCAGTTGGCTACTTTTTATAGAAACTAGTGTTTTTTTTACCAGTTTTTAAATTTTAATAAAAAAGAGCAAGAGAGGTATAAATTACAAACACTATTACAAGTTAAACATTTTTTAGTTTAAGAGGTTTAAAACATTTTTTAGATTAGCAGTTCCCATTCTACTTAGTTATGAAGACCACATTTATAGATTGCATCCCATGCATTAGGAACTGCCACTTTAGATAATTATAAGACATTTAAAACAATTATGAATCCAAAAAAACTTATATCCATTTTCATGTAGATAAATCAAGCTCTTTCAAAAAAATTAAAAATTTAGTGGTTTTTACTATTAACCATTAATAATAATAATAATAGACACACACACACACTATATATATATATATATAAATGTTTACTTAAATATTGATTTTATTTTCAATTTTTTATTTTTTTATCAAATTAATGATACAGAAATATTAGATTAATAGTTTAGTTTCTAATTACAAAACACTAAAAATAACCATAAATTAGCAAAGAAATTAATTTTCATTAAGTTATGTAAGTATTTAAAAATAATCATTAACAGTTTTTAATTATATCAAAAGTGTACAGTAGAACGTAATTTTTGATAAATTGACACATGAAATTATATTTACATTTCATAATCATATTTATTTACATATTCGAAACAATTACATTTAATGAGGAAGTGTAAAATATTCCACTAATAACATTAAATGGAAAAAGGGTTCAAATTGAATGTCACAAGCGACAATAGAACCATAGTTATATTAATATTTAAGTATTTATTTTACCAACAATAAAAAGTGTTAGAATTTTTTATATTTTTTTTCAAACATCAAGTTTTAATAACATTGAGCGAAATAAATTTTAATTAAAACATTTCGCTTCGCTTATCTTAATTAAATATTGTAAAATAGAAGATTATATTAAATTTTTTATAGATTATTATTAATTGGTTGTTATAATTTGTATAAAATCACGTTCCAATAATAGTTTGATGATTGCGGTGGCATATGTTGGTAACACCATTGGTATGATATAGTGAGGTGAAGGGTGAAACCACTACCCACTTTCCCGCCCAGCAAAGAAATATATTGATAAAACTAGTACTTCAAAACGCCGAGTATAAATTAACACTCATGAAACTTCACGAATAGATTCATACAACTATTAGATAAACTGCTTAACTGACTAGTCTTCGTAACATAACAAATTAAAGTAATTAAGGAAAATTGATTTTTTTTATACTACACTATTTAATTTAATTTGTTCATTAAATATTATTATCTGTCTGAATTTTTTAAAATTATTTAAATACAATTGAATTTCAACATGTTTCTCAGATCTTCACATAGTATTACACGATCATTAACAATGTGTGCACAACGCTACTCATCTACGTGGCCTACTAAATCTTATGTGAACGGTGAATGGTATGATGCAAAATCTGGGAAAACTTTTGATGTCATCAATCCAGCTACCGGAAAAATTATTGCTACTGTACCAGATTTAGATGCTTCTGATGTGCAAGTAGCCATAAATAGTGCAAATGACGCATTTAAGACATGGAAAAAGACGACAGCTAAAGAAAGAAGTGATTTGTTAAGAAACTGGTATAATATTTTAGTTAAAAATAAAGAATATTTAGCAGATGTTGTAACATCAGAGGCTGGTAAACCATTACCAGAATCTTTGGGTGAAGTAGCTTATGGAAATTCATTTGTTGAATGGTTTTCGGAAGAAGCACGCCGAACTTATGGTGAATATGTTCCTAGTCCAATTAAAACCAAAGAAATTTTAATGATTCGTCAACCACTAGGACCTGTTGGTCTTATTACACCATGGAATTTTCCGATAGCTATGATAACTAGAAAAGCTGGAGCAGCTTTAGCAGCAGGATGTACATGTGTCATAAAACCAGCTGAAAATACTCCAATTACAGCATTAGTATTAGCAAAGTTTGCAGAAGAAGCTGGAATTCCTAAAGGAGTGATTAACATTGTAACTGCATCCAGGGAAAATACACCTGAAGTTGGTAAGCTGTTATGTGAAAGTCCAGATATTTATGGTATATCATTCACTGGATCTACAGAGGTTGGAAAATTACTATACAAACAATGTAGTAGTACAGTAAAACGTGTTGGTTTAGAACTGGGTGGAAATGCACCATTTATAGTATTCAACGAAGCAGATATTGACAAAGCAGTGGCAGGAGCAATGGCTTCAAAGTTCAGAAATTGTGGACAAACATGTGTAAGTGCGAACCGATTTATTATTCAAAAAAAAGTATTTGCTGAATTTGTTGATAAATTAAAAACTGCTATGAGTAAATTAGTAATAGGCAATGGTAAAGATGGAAGTGTGAATATGGGACCATTGATAAATCTTGCTCAGGTAGAAAAAGTTGAAAGAATAATAAATGACGCTAAAAATAAAGGAGCAAATATCATAACTGGTGGTAAGAGGGCATTAAGTGTAGGTGAACGATTTTATGAACCAACATTAATCACAAATGTAACTGAAGACATGGCCTGTTACATAGAAGAGATTTTTGGACCAGTTGCTGTATGTATAGAATTTGATACAGAAGAAGAAGGATTGAAAATTGCAAATAGTACAAATCGAGGGTTGGCTGGATATTTTTATTCAAGAGATATATCTCAAATTTGGAGAGTATCTAAAGAGCTAGAAGTTGGAATGGTTGGTGTCAATGAAGGAATAATATCATCTACAGAAGCAGCATTTGGTGGCATTAAAGAATCTGGACTAGGAAGAGAAGGCTCTCATCATGGTATGGATGAATATACAGAAATAAAATATATTTGTTTTGGAAATATTGAATTTTGATTTTTTTATTTTTATTATAATTGAAAATAATTAAATGCTATAGGTATTAAATTAAAATTTATGTCTTCCGTTAAAATTAATTGTCTTCCAAAAGTCGGTGATAAAAATATGTTTAAATAATTACTGTGATTTAAATTGTTAGTTTTTTTCTTATAGTTAAATTTTACCATTTTAAATAGATAGTTTAATAAAACATATATTATAATGTATGAATGTTAATTAAAAATATCATTCATATGTCAAGCTGATGGTTTTTCTAAATATACATAGTTTTTATGATAGGAATATAATTAAAACAATAGATACTGTAATATATACTTTGTATCTCATTGTTTATAGAATAAAATAATTAGAATATTCAGAACAAAACATTTAACTATAGATTGGATACTCATAATACTTATGCAATGATATTATATAAAATAAAAGTAACCAAGTAGATAATTGTCAACACTAACCTTTTTTTATTTGTTATAATGTGAGTTATTTGAATATTTACTTATGATTGTTTGAATACAAGAATAATAAATACTAACTAGTTTTTGTATTAATAATACCTAAACTATAAAAACTAAATACCTAAGATGTGATGTCAGTTTAGATATCAATAATAACTCTGCCATGCTCGAATTGTACATTTATTTGACATGTAATTTATTCAAACGTATCATTATAGTTAATACTTGACTGGATCATGAAATCGTAAAAACAATAGTGATTCAACAACTAAAATCTAATTAATTTTGTATACTACAGATCAAGCTTACCTCAGGTTAACCGGGAAAATCAGTAATTCATATTAATAACGGTTTCCGTTTTCTTGTGAGTGATTAGATGAACCAAAAAGTGGAACAAGCCAACAAAGGTTAAACTATCCGTTGGATATTACGACTGTTATCATTTTCATAACGGCCTAATCGAGTAGGTTATAAATGGAACCGAAACCGAAACGATCGTTAATGGATAAATACGAAAAAAAAGACACCTAACCAACCACAACTAATATATGCGTAGGATTTCCCGTGGTCCGATATTACTTCCAGTGTTAATATTTCTATTTAGTACCTGAATGTTAGAAAGCACCGCGTGATTGTAAGAAACAAAAAAAAACGAAATGGAAACAATCAAAACGATAAGCGGCGTACATCGTGATAAATTTATAATAAGTACTTATTATTATTATTATCAAGTCTTGGAGTAACAGTTGCAGCTGTTGAACACCGTGATAATAACTCAAACATTCATTTTTTTGAACTACCACGCCATCGTGTGCATTGAAATATTATTTACTCCATGATTGCATCACGATAACCACGTCAATGAGAATGTTATTATTCAAGAACAACAATTCTTAATTATGATATTTCGTTTATTTTCAAATTCTCGAATTTTATCAAAACCTGTTATAAGAGAAAGTGTTCGTAAAGTCAAGACTTATGTTAAATGTACAAAAGTTAGATACTTATGATAAACTGACGAAATAAAATCATTGTGAAATATTTAAATGTATAGAATAATCAATTATAGCTAATTAGCTGCCAAAATTAATTTGTCCTTTGCCATTTATTATTTTATTTGTTGTACAAATTTAACTGATCTGAACAGTTGGGGCTTTCAATTAATTTTTATACAATCTTTAATGTTGGTAATTTTAATATCTGATGATTCTGAAGATAAAACTAATTGCCAATGTTTAATACTGTTCGAAAAAACCTAAATATCATATAATATTGGTTGAATGTGAACTTTTATTTATAAACTGAGCCTTATGATATAAGTAGTTTACCTTACATTTATTGAGGTTTCAATGAACAATGTTTGAATTAAAGTTTAAAAGGAGTATTTCCTGGAATTATTTTAACTATATGATTTTAATTTAAACTATACACTCCACCTTAATTTAATTATTTTGGAACATTTTATAGAAAATCAATTATGACATTATTACACACAAAAGGAATTATTTTATTGATTATTTAGTGTTCGTACCAGTAACAAAAATGTTTTATGTTTCTATGGTAATTTAAAGCATTTTTATTATTCATTCATAGGTGGAGTTAGTACAGTATATACATATGAATATATTAAGTTAATCTTAATAATACTATTAGTTATTAAGTATTTATTTTATTCTTGTAGTATAGATACATATTAAATGCTTATTTTATATTAGTGCAAATAATGTTCTTTTGGTTTAATCGAGATGATCACAATACTAAACTTCCAAAAGTTCGAACTAAATCTAATGACAAACAATTATCAAATAATCAAAAACATTTATCTGAAAACAGTAAAAATATTTCAAAATACACACCATTGCCAGCAATCAATACAAAAAATCCATATAAAAAATTGGAAAGACAAACGACGTACATTGTCACAACTCCTGTTTTCGTGAAACCTATAAAACGTCCAAAACAACGAAAGAAACCAATGACATTTAAAGATTTTAAAAAAAATTTAAAAAAAATAAATAAAAATGACGAAGATGACAATGGCATGATTTGGATTGACTTATAACTATGAATAAGACTTATGGAAATATTTGAATACCTACTTAGTTTTTCATTGTAATATGTAAGTAAAAGTTTTAAAAATATATCTAGGTACAAACCTAATTAACATATTTTGAAACAAATTGTTTAGGTATTATGTTTCTTATAAAAAATTATTCAAGTTTATAGTTTTCAAAAAATAGTATTTTTGATTTAAAATTCAAGGTGAAAATTAATTATGTAACATTGTAATTATTTAATTTAATTTTAACAGTCTCAATGTATCTTCCTGGTTGTTATAAATTATAATGTGTTGAATCTATCATAATACTATAAATATGATATATTTAAAATACATTTTCATTTGCTAACTTTTGATTTAAATTTAATTACTTATTAAAATAAAAAAATATATTTATAGTGCTCACTTACAACTCCATATATTTTTTGTACATAAAAAAAAAAAATTTACACGTTTAAGTAAATGAGTATACATATAATACTTAGGTAGGAACTTTATATTATTACTATAATTTTTTTTTTTTTTTGGAAATCTTAAAAATTATCATGGAAGCCATTTATGTTTCTATTAAGATAAGACAGTGTATATTATTATGTATTATATACATTTTTATGTTTATCATTTATTAATATTTATAATAAAAATTTAAAAAAAAACTGATGTATATTTATTAAATTATTAATTAGTTATTCAATTTTTATAGTTGTAATATAAATAATATATTGTAGGTAGTAAGATTATAAAAGGAATTTTGTAGAATATGAATTGATTTTCAAAAATGAAATATTTTTATCCTTATTGTGATAATAATTCATAAGTATTTTAAGAAAGACTCTAGCTTATTAAAAAAAAAAAAATCATATATTCTTTTTTCATGAAAAAAATAAATATTTTTGAAGCATGTCGATTTTGCAATAATATATTTTTCGTGAAAACTTGACTGTACTTGTTTAAATGTAGTTAAAATGTTTTATAACTTTTTAGCATGGGCGTCTTCAATGGGGCAAGATGGGGCACCTGCCCCTCCCTAAAATCTTAAATTTGTTCTCCAAAGCATTATCTGTAATGGGAACATTTAGTAGACTTAAATTACTTTAATATAACGTATATATTATATATAGAAGAAAACTATCTTTAATAATAATTGGATTATTTTATCTTATCGTACCTATCGTACCTTATCGTATCTATATCTTATATGTTGAGAAAATCGTAAAAAACCATCTAAGTAACAACTAGACATTTTCTATCAGAAATTACTCATGTTTGTGACGATCAGAGCTATACTTTTGGTTAAAATTGTGTACAGTCAAAAAAATAAAATACAAACAGTGTGTGATTATAGGCGGCAAGTTTGAATTTTGATCTTGGTTGAAGTTTTTTGCAATTTTTTTTTGCATTTTTCTCAATTATTCAGAAAAATATTGAGAAATTCATAAAAAGCTAACCAGAGTACTAACAAGTACTAAGAAGAGTATACGTATGTATTATAGTTAAATGTGGGTGAGATAAGGCTGTAGATGAATTTGGACTATTTTACGCATGGCACTGTTTATTTATTAAAAAACTATTCTTTAAAATATATAATAAAATATAATAAATAGTTGTAAGTAAAAAAGGAAAATTATTTTAAAAATCGCCATGGTAGTATTGATTTAGATGAGTTCAAGTATCTGGCGAGGACGACTTAAAATTTTTATTATACAGACTTTATGTGAATACGGTTCAGTGATTTTTCGGATCTTTTTTTCCTGTATCCCCCTATAGCTGCTGCAAAAGGAAACGTTTGAATGGCCTTGATTTTTATTCGATTCAGGAGAAGTAAAGAAAAATAAACCAGACCGGTGGCGCTCACGGAAGTATAATGATTTATTAAATTTTCATTTTTTTGGCAAATGTACATGTACTTCGATAACAAAGTCAATATAAATATATCTTGCGGAAGGTGGTCGATGTAGCATATCATGGTGCGTACGTGCAGTTGTACTCGAATATAATTTTTTTTTCTACAAGTCTCCTTATTATATCCTTATTCGTTCCTACAAAGATTGGTGAGGTCATTGAAAATCAGGCTCAAGCTTTTTGGAGATCCCGAGGCACATGACTATAACACGGACATAACTATGTCCGTCAAAGTTTGCAGTGGCTTTTTAGAGGATTATTTTCAAGCTGGTTTAGTTGTTACTATTAATGCTTTAGTACCCCCCCCCCCCACCAATGTCATTAAACGGTTTTATATTTCGGAACGTTATGGATGTGGTGTTGGGTCAAGATTTTATTTTTTTCTGATTGCATTATATAGGCGCAGTGTTTGAAATTTTAGGGGTTGAACCTAGGGTCTATACAAAACATATCAATACAATCATTAGTTTTCGGGGGGGGGGCAAGCTTCCCAGCCACCTCCCCGTTATTTGCACCTATGTCGCATACACCTACATATATTCGTTATGTAACACGTGGATTTGTATCGATGTTGATCGAGTAATTATTACACTCGTTTGACCCACGAACGGACGTGCTCGTAAACTAACTGTTTACAGTAAGTGATGTTTCAGATGAAACGATTGCGTACGGCTGATCTGAATAAACGATATCGTTTATCAACGACCAACCACGTCTCGCAACGGTTCGAACCGGCAACCTGGCTACGGTTTTGCTGCACCTGACCGACACATTATACCAAGTTCTGGTGATAGCGCGATTCTTCCGGGGCGCCATAAACAGGTGATAAGCGGAAAAATTGTCGTATCATCCTTACACAGGTATGAGGTCTGATTGCCGTGCCTGTTTGCATGCCACTCGTGTTCAACGATGAACGATAGAACTCATAAACGCGAAGGTTAGACCGCACATTGCGCCGTTTGTAGGGTGACACTATCCTTGGGGGATTTTTTTTTTAGTCTTATTTTACAAAAGTTCACTCGTCATGTCCCAAGACGACGATAAGATCAAGAGCGGCGATACAGTTGCAAAACCCGAGAACGACACCACGGTAAATATAATATGCACACCTATCACCTACGTTTAATGTGCGTTGTCTGATGTTGACTGTTTACATCTTATCGGACAGATGAATAAAACAAACACTGCAGAAACCGTCAATGCGTTGTTGAATAAACCAAGTACTTCCGACGATTGGGTAAGTTATTTGTACCATATTTTACATTTTATTTTGTTTTTCGTTCGAAAAATAGTAAACGACAGTCTTTTATAATTTTATACTTTTATACAGGCCAATAATGTTAAATCTCAGGAATTGGTGTCTAACGTACGTGAAAATATGGTAATAATAATTTATTTAGTAATGTAGTGTTGATATATTTTTATCATTATCAGAAAATTACTTTTTATTCCCAAGGTATCAAAAGCCACTGAATTTTTGATAAATAAATCTGTACAACACAGGCCAATTGAAAATAAAGTTGATTTCCTTCGTTCAAAGGGATTAACAGATCAAGAAATAACAGCATCGTTACAGAGAGCTGAAACAAGATGCAATCAAATTTCTTATCACAATGTTTGTAATTTTACAAAACTTTTTTTATTTAAATAAACTAACAATAGTACGTTTTTAGCCATCACCTGTTCATTACAATTCGTCAGCTATGGCTGGTGTTGTTCAAACTCCGTTTGAAGCCCAGAACTGGTATAGACGGCTTTTTGGACCTATAGCATTTGCTGCTACTTTTGCATATATTGCCTATCAGATATATAAAGTAAATACCAACAAATTATTTAATTCCAGTACATACATACTTATACTTGTTACAGAAGTATGTAGAAAGCTGGTTGTTTGGTGTAAAAAAACCATCGGTGGGAAATCGTTTAGAAGCTCTTGAGGTATCAATGCAAAGAGTTTTAGTGCTCTTAGAGGACAAAAACATTACATCTGATGCTTCATATAATGCACACATTGATCGACAAAGAGAACACGATCAATTACGTTCTGAATTGAAGATTATTAAAAGTTTACTTCTTAACAAGTATTTAATATGATGTTATCAATATTCTTTTCGATTTATAAAGCTATTTATTTGATTTAGATCCCAATTTCCGCCTGCTCCTATGGCTTCCAGTATACCTCAATGGCAACTACCAAAAAATTCTAAACTTCAAGTGGAACAACAAAACAAGGTCAATGGTACTGACTCACCTGGGAAGACAGACCAAAAGCAAGTTAATAATATGTACATACCTAGTACATCAAAACAAAACAAATCCAATGATATTTCAACTCCAAGCACTTCTCAACACGAGCCTTATAAAATTTCAGTATTGGATTTACCTACTAGTGTTATCGTGGATGAAACAATTTCAAATTATGATATATTTAATGGAAAAATTTTACCAAAGAATTCTGACCAAAGTATAATAAAACGTGATGTTGATCAAAGTGATGAAAATAAACAAAGTGTAAATAGTGAAAATTTAATTCTGTGATATTAAATGTGTAGTAAATATTATTATTTTTTTAATACATATTTACAAATCTATATGAAAATGATACAAAATTAAAAAATATTTAATACAATTCTTGAATCTTGATTAATTTATATTATATTAAACTTATTTTTTATGATTTGTTCTGTGACTTTGGTATACAAATAAACTTTGTTTTTATTTAAGACTGAATCACATATGTTTTTTTTTTTTTTTTTGCTGATTTTTTTCAATATAAAGTTTTCAGTAAATAATTTCACTTATCAAAATACTAATATTTATTGTCCAGACATTTAGTTTAATCAATAATCAAAAATTATTGGATAAAATCATTAAGAACTGCAAAAAATTATTATTTATCAAATCTACTGTCAATTATTGAATTAATAAAATAGGAATTAAAAAAAATATTAATAATAATTTAAGTTATGTACATTTTATGTTTTTATATTTAAAAGTGAGTTTACACAATGTATTAAGATGATGGAAATCTGTGAAATCAAATTTAATTTAGATACTTAAAAGGTTATCTTGAAGTTAGGCATGAATTGTTTTTTAAACGTAATTTAATTAAAATAGAATACATTTTAAATAAAAATTAAATATTTTAAAATGTTTAAATTGTTTATTGATAATTTAAAATTAATTTTGAGTAAAGTTCATTTATCAGAACATTTTTAAATTAAATTTTTATTTATTTTATATAAAGTTATATATCATAATATTATAGTATAATTAATTTTTACTATTTGTATAATTAAATGAAAGGGTATTGTTATCATATATTTGTTGTACAATTTTATTACATTGTGATGTCTTGGATTTGTGAGTGCTGTGTGATGATTCAGGAGAAGGAGGGGCAGAAGCATACAGAATTTTTCTTCAAAGTACATAAGGACATAAGAGGATAAGATCAAATGAAATTAAAAAAATTTATATTGAGGTAAAGAGGTACTAGTTAAAGTTAGAATATAGAATATTGAATAATGTACAATGGTGGTTTCGATTATGATACTACAATAGTTTTATGTTTATACATATTGCAGCCTCGGTATTTTAATATCAACTAGGTTAAATTCTATGTATCATGTAAGAATTGTATATAATAAGACAAAGAAATAATCCTGTCCGTCAGTTACTGGTTAAGACATTAATTTAGTTAAACATTTTACTTATCACGTTCTTGTTGCACATGACCAACTAGCTCATCCCTACTATGGGGTATGTGATATTGACTGCTCCATAGTTGTAGTATTTCACACGCAAAAATGTTGACATACCAATCGGCTATTCGTAATAGATATTATTTATATCCATCAGACACAGATTCCTTCGGATTCATCAGATTTTATGCATTTTTTTTTTTTTTTTGTATAAAGTTTAAACTTGAAAACTTATGTTTTCAATTTTAGAATTTGGGAATTTTGTAAATAAATCCATTGTTTGTTTTGTAAGTCATATGATAATATATATTGTAACAATTGTTTTTTTTTAATATGGGTAAATATATAAAATGAAATAAAAAACAGCATTCTTCAAGTATTAATTTTTAAAGCCTAATGAAGAAGTTACGATCTAATTTTGATACTATGATTATGTACACGATTTCGCTCTACTTTTTTTTTTTTTTACTATGAAATTAGTTACGTGTAAGATTAAAAAACTTGAACCCTATGGTTCTCTCGGTCGCACACTAGTATGTTTCCGTTGGACATGACAGCGATGCCTTCGAGTCCTTTGAATTCCCCGTCGCCACTTCCCCAGCAGCCAAAAGCACGTAGGAACGTGGAATCCGGATGGAATATCTGTATGCGGTTATTACCGGAATCGGCTACCAGTATGTATCCTTGATCGTCTACGGCTACACCTCTGAAAGTTTAATTTTCATAAGTAAAAGCAAATGGATAGTTTGTTAAGTACAGTGGCGGTTTTATGGGAGAGGTTCCAGGGGGTCTGGACCCCCAGATCTCAAGTTTAGGCTGTGATATATTTTTCATTCGAGGCGTTCGGGTTTTGAGTAGCTATTTACATGCGGGTATACACGCTTACTTATATATAATTCTAATGATGTCATCATTATTATTCCGTATATTTGAATGTTTGCTACAGCTATTTAGGTATTTATATTTCTCTGAAATGTTGACGTTTACGATATCTATTATTTGTGATAATAATGGCGTTTGGCTGCTCGAAGAATGCACATTAGCGGATTAGCACAGCGATAAACTGACTGTCACTTTTCAACCGACCGCGATACGCCCGTTGAACGTATAAATTGTAAACTTTTAATCATGTATAAATAAGTTACCAATTACTATTTACGAGTTTATTTACAAATATTATTTTAATCTAAGGACTAAGATTACCATTCAATTTGAATCAAACTTGAAAAGTATTTAAAATTCAGGTTAGTAAAATTTATAATAACAATTTTAAAATGTTTTGCTTTTTAATTTACTTAGTGTTTATCCATATTATTTAATTCATAATAATATGTAGTTAATTTTAATCTAAGTAAATTATTTTGTATTGTGAATGTAATTTTTAATGTTTTTTAATATTAATTATTTTCACCACAGGCCAGTCAGCGATTATAAAACTTTCGGCCATCTTTCACCGAAAATGAATAAATATAATAAAGTACATTTTTTTATCAAAATATTATATTTTCCCACCAGTTACCACAGTAAATATTGAATATTATTAATGGTTTAAAGTTTATTTGTATATATTAAAAGATAATGTTTAAGGACCCCTCCCCTCCAGAAAAAAATCAAAAAACCGCCACTGGTTACATAAGAAATAAGTGGTTTATTGATTATATTTTCGAATCTAATCCGACGATATGTAATTGGTGTATCGAAATACTTTACACCATTTAAACAGTTCGCTACTTAGGGAGGTATATATCACAAAAAAATTTATAGTACTTGTGTATATACACACATACATATACTTATATAGAAACGCTGGAGTCTTGATGTTCAAGAAATAACGAATTAATGTGTTTAAAATGCAAAAATAAAAACTAACCTACTATTATAGAATATAATATGAAGTGCAATGATAATAAAAATATTAATTGACGGAATCATTATATTCCGTGGTCTCTTATACTAACAGCAATAAAAGGCATAACATTAAAATGCTTAACCGTTGTATATAAATTGTATATTTTTGATTCGTTATTCCCGGTTAAAATATCGTGGAAAACGTTAAAAAAATAAAACAAAAATCGTACACTTTTCGACCGAAAATTCGATGTTTTCCTTTTAGTATACTTTTGTGCTATTATTTGTTTGCAGTCTATTATAAGATGCGTCCAATGCATTTGTGGCGTCTGCTAACCTAGTGTCACTCTTCACGTCACTTAATCACCAGTTCCGGACTTAGCAGGAATGGAGGTGGTGCTATGAATTGGGGCCATCTTAAACTTTAAGGGACCTCTAAAATTGTTTCTCTCGTTATGTTTTGTGCTAATTTTTTATTTATTCATTGCATTTCATTCGATAACTTTTAATAGTGAGTTTATAAATCGAAATGTCTAAACGCATATTTGAAAGTTGAACACAAAAATGTAAAAAAAAGAAATTATTTTTACAATAATTTTCTTTTTCTTTTTAATTTTCCGTGTTATGCATCTTTGAACGTCTTTCATTTTTAAGCGGTTAGCAATAACTGTCGAGGTTGGCGATCGGAGTAGTTTAATACCCATCGAGTTGAATACCTATGATCAGCGCAGTACTGTTGCAGAAAAATATAGGTATAATATATATATATATACGTCTAAAATTTAATAGTTAATGCAACTTAAAGTTTAATAGTTAAATAATAATAATCAGCCGATAACTGTAGTATTATTCACTTAAATTTCAATCGATGACGTGATAATTTATAGCCGTGGTCGTGATGTCACGCCTCTTTCAGAAACTGATCTAGGTACCCTTCCACATATACAAGTGACCGTAACCTGATTTCGTGTTTATAACACGCGCGTGTTAAACGCCGTTTAACGGGCATGTGCAAACGTCGCGTTGCAGTGTGCGATGAAATATCGTACATACTTGGGGAATTTGAATTGGCCATTTTCTGATCCCTCTGAACCGAACGAACTGATCACTCTGCCGTTAACGTCAAATATCTGAATGCGATGGTTATTGCAATCCGAAACTATTACCCTGTTGGTGTTCGATACCGCGATGTAGTGCGGATGTTCCAACTGTCCAATCTTGTTGCCGTGCGATCCGAATTTTCCTACGAATGTTCCGTCCGACTGGAACACCTGTTGATAAAAATTCGATGACAGTTTGTATGAAACAGTTTAACAATAAAGGTAGTACAGGTGCAGGGGAGAAGACGGGGATTCATCCCCGGGCGTAACATTTTAGAGGATGTTATTTTTGTAATTATTAACAACTAATTTGATATTTTTAACTCTGTTAAATACTGTTTTTAGGTTAAAACTCAATGAGTATGATTGTGTATTAATTATCAGAAACAAATTCTCGAGAAGAGTATTTGATTATTGGTCTATGATAGGGCGTAATTTTAACATTTTCCACGGGCGTAAAAATTCCTAGTTCCACCTCTGTACAGTTGTGTTTGAGCACTTTGAGTTCAATTGTATCGAACCGCCCTCTTGTCTAACGTTAAAATAATTATCAACTATTGTAATATTAAAAATAAATATAACTAATGCTTGGTTAAATAAAACTTTTCATAACGTTGTATAATTTCATCATAAAAGATACGAAAATATATTAAGATTTGCTTCTTGGAACTCGTATAAATGCCTCTTATCGAAAAACTTTTAACTATATGTAAATATAATCGGAGTAACCTATAACGATTTTATTAATATCATATTATGCTATGGATTTTCTTTATAAAATGAATCGAAGGTACCTAGATATTTTTTTTAATAACTCAGTGTACCAGTGTACCATGTACGCATCACAAATTAGGAGTTATTCCGTAAATATACGAGTGATAATTATACTCATTTGGTTTGATTAATTTTTATTATGTAAAGAACTATTGTAATTGTATACACGCTCTCAAAAAAAAAAAAATAAATAAATACGAGATAAACCGTGGTATGATTTAATAGAATATAACTGAAAAAAATAACGTTGCAAATCTATTGTTATATTAAAAAAATATCATTTATCGAGGTATTTGTAATGCGTGTGGTGTGTATACTCGAACTATGTGCGTGTACTTGGTAAACAATAAAATAGAACAAAATCAATGCACGAATTTGAATATAACATTGCATGTGTTGTTTGAAGCCGTCTATATGACTAGACTATACCTCCTACAACTCGTTTAATAGAAGAATGTTTATTTCATAGAATGCAAGCGTAGAGGATGGATGTTTTTTTTTATTTATTCATTTTTGGTTCTGTTTACCTGTATTCTATGATTTTCTTTATCGCAAACATATATGAACCCAAGAGCGTCCGTGGTAATTCCCCAAGGATAATTGAACCGGCCGTCACTGGAGCCTTGACTTCCGAATGACCTTAAAAATCTGCCAGATGGATCCAAGACCTAAAGTGGGAAAAATATAATCCAATTGGTTTTACAATATTGCAAGCCGTGGCAAAGTAGTTCGTCTGAATTATTAAATTTTACTTGGATTCTGTGGTTGTATCGATCGGCAATGATATATTGTCCGATACGGTTGACGGCTACACCGGCCAAGCAGTCGAATTCGCCTTCGCTGTTTCCGTAGGATCCAAAGTCTTTCAATATGCGTCCGCAGTTATCAAATACCTATACGCGTTAAAAAAAAAAAAAAATGAGTCCATATGACTTAGATCGTTAAATCCGAAACCGAAGAAAAACGCGGTCGTACTTGGATCCTGTGGTTCGAAGAATCGGCCACGACGATCAGATTGTCCGGGCCAACAGCGACGCCTCTTGGCCAGGTGAAATATCCGGGCTCGCTCCCCCGACCTCCAATCTTAAATAACAATTGTCTCTTCTGCAAGTACTGCACTCTAGGGGTAGAACCTACGCCCTGCATACCTGAAATACAACACAAACGAGAATCGTTAGATTTCAATAATTTGTTTAATACAAAATTCCAGTTTTAATAAAACATACTATGTTCACCTATCCAATAAATAATATTCTATCCGAGCACTAGTCAAAGGCATGTTTTACGATGCGGTTAAATATGACCGATTTTTGCTTTTAATTAAATTTCAGTATAATCGTTATTATTGTTTGTTTAATTTAAAATGATTATTAATTGTTTAATTTAGATATGATGGCGTCAAGCTGTTTGTAATAAATTTGGTGGTCAATGGCCTTTGAGATTTGGTCACTCACCTGATCACCTTATTGATCGGTAAGACTTTATAAGTACATTGCATTAGTAAGATTATGACTCACCTGCTTCGATAATTGTATGGGAGGTGGGGGAGCTGTGCATGTTTTTTTGGTCGTCATCTGAACTGTCAACGACGGTGGAATTGGATCGCAGTGGCAATCCGAGTGACAGTCGTCGAGTAGACGAGCTTGACGCGGAAGCGGCAGTAGCATTGTCCTTGGCCGCGTTTTCTTTACTGCGATTTCCGTATTTGTTTTTTAAATACCTAGCCCACGAGCTTAACGCTGCTCCGTCTTTTTCTCCAGTTCCTGCTAACATAGAAAAAATGCATTTCGTCATACAAATAGTACGCTCGAACGTTTTTTTAATTTTTATATATAATCGCGTTTGTGAGTTATTCATTCGTGTATAGGTGTGTCTGTGTAACTATTATTCATTATGTTTTTGTCGCTAAGACTCTGCTAAACCGTAACCGGCCGATGGACTGTTACGAGGATGTGTTTCAGTGGAAATTAAGCCTACCACAGTAGTTACTACTATACAACGGAGATAGTGGGTTATATTTCTCGTTTTACTAAACCGTTATGCATTTTGATGTACTGTAAACGTACATTGATGTGTGCCGAAAGGAAAAAAATGGAGACATATGCCGTTGCAATTTTCACGTGAATGGTGTTAGGTTGTTGTTGTTCGGTCATTAATTAGATACCTGAAGAATTTGTTACAGGCCTATCGGGTGAGGTCTCCCGTGATTTTAAAGTGTGACTGGATCGACTTCTGGACAAATCCGAACCGTAATGTGTTTTAGAGTACGGTGAGTACGAAGAGGTGTTAGTGTCGTCCTGAAGGTCTTCCTCTAGATTAGCGCTGGTTCTACTCCGCGACAACCCTTTGTCCGAAGTATATTTGTTGTCACTGCTGTAACTCGATTTGCTAGGATTCTCTTCTTGAATACTTTTATTTTTTAGAAATCTGCTAGTGAACCTTGGGGCGGGTTCGGTTCGGGAATTGTTCTGGTACTTACTACCACTTGCTGCGGTGTCGGATTCCCTGGGGCTTTGGTACGACGACGGTGATTTATAGCCATTAGTACCGTATCTAAAAATAAAAAGGTTACTAATATTATATCATTCGCGAAAAATCTATGAGTGCACGTACCGTGATCTAGTGTAAGACTCGTCTTGGCTAGGTCTTCTTGAGCTATTATTACTGCCTCCACTTCCATTATCCCTGGCTTGAGCACTTCTAGCCAATAATGGTCCAATATCGGTTTTTTCCATACCTTTTGATGCTGGTATTTTCGGCTTAGCATCATCGGAATCTTCGTCTGATTCTTCGTCAGATGATTCTGATGAAGTTTCTGTTTCTTCTTCTTCTTCTTCTTCATCCTCAATTTCTTCTTTCTTCGAAGGACCTTCACTGTTACCTAAAATAATTATTTTAATTTTTTTTTACAATTTTGTGTAAATAAATAAAATTTTGTAGTGAGATATTGGAATAAATAATCTAAAGGTATTGTGTTTTCCCATTTTCTCCTATAAAATATTTTTTAAATATAAATTTATTCGTGACGAGATATGTATTATTATTATTTAGAAGTTGTTAGCTTTAATTAAAAAAAAAAAATCAGATTCATTTAGATCACTTGACTTACTTTTTTATATTACAAGAATCGTATTGCCAAACGGTGTAATGGATTTACGAAATAGGTAGGCTGATTTTAATCCAATTATGTTAAAGTAATAATTAAAATTGAAGAAAGGAAGTGTATAGTAAAAATAATTGTGAAGTATAAAATATGCTTTATTTTCACTTGTATAATATGTAATTAACATTAATTTGGATATAAATGTAGTCTTATTGATTTAAAATTATTATCTTAAGTAAACACATATTTAGTATAAATATAGTAAAAAAACGTGTTAATAAATAGTTATGTATAATATTAGGTATTTAGAACATAGAGAATATTGAATTCTTAAATAGTTTTTAATACTAAAATAAATCATATATGTTTAATTTTAAAGTATGTTCGTAACACACAGTGGAAAATCATAAAAATATATTTTAAAAATAAATTTTAGGTATTCTTAAGATTAATAGATTACGATAAAGAAATTTTGAAATTGATATACCCGATACAGTATAAAACCTAGCTAACGCATAATGAATAATGGTTGCATTGCGTTATGTAAGATATTTCCATAAATAAATGAATACACAGATTATCGAGATGGTAAAATATTTAAATTTATTACCCGTAACACTGTAACTTCGAGAGTTCGTCGGTGTAGCTGAATCTCTTTTCGAAGAAACCGAAGAAAATCGAGCACGTGGAGTTGTACTTCCAGAACTTGAACTAACTGGCGATTGTTTCACTTCTTCTGGGGGGTATGCACTAGCTGCGTTTCTGCGTACCGGTGTTCCAGGAGTTTCGGAAGAACCCGAACTTTCAATACTTTCTGATCTAGTCGACTTCAATCTGGCATTACCTGAGATAAGTGTAAATAATTAATGCATATTACCAACATTTATAGCAAATTTATATGCATGACTAACGATTACCTTTGGACGCTAATTTATCTGATGCCGTAGAGGATCGTCTCGAATCCGTTGTAGATGATGTGGATGGAGGAAATGTAGTCCTGGCGGGTGTTGCTTTCCTCGGTTCGGCTACCGGTACTTCAACCGAATCTTCTTCGGACTCGCTTTCAGTTGTCTCCAGAGTATCGACCTATGTAATGATATTTTATTTTATAAATAATTACGCAACCAAAAATATGATTTCTATATTTATATTTAAATCTTACTGGTAATGGTTCAGGTACAGGGGTCTTTCTCGAGTTATCTAAAGGCGTGTTGGATTTGTTAGAATCTCTCGAGTCTTCCCTTTTTATCGAACTAACTCTATCTCTTCGTTCCGTATCCGACGATGTCGATGCAGTTTTGTTTTGCCGTTTTATCCTCGCTATCTCATCGTCTTCACTCAATTGCCTCTGAGGTGTTTGCTGCGGAGTTATTCTTTTTGGCTGTTGAACTGGTTGGGGAGCTTGAGGCTTTGGCGCAACATCTACTTTTTTATCTTTATTCTCACTCTCTATTAGCCTTTTCATGACTCTTGGTGAATCGTACAATCTCGTGATACCACTCAAAGGACCTTTAGCCACATCTTCGGTGTCCAAAACCTTTTCTCGTTCACGGTGTACAGTATTTGTTTCGGCAAAACGGACTGATCTCGAATCTGTATCGGAGTCGGTATTTTCGTTTAGACCATGTCTTCCTAATCGGGATCTAATCCTTGATCTTGCTGAACTTCTATTTTCACTGTCATGCGTCGAGTCTACATCGTAATCATTTCTATCACCACGTGAGTACCGACTTTGATATCGTTCACCAAATTTTCTACCTCCAAGCGGCGAAACTCTTCCACTAATATCGCTATTTTCTTCCTGTCGGTATTGTGAAGCTAGCCTATGATCACTTTTTGACCGCATGAGGCCTGGACTTGGAGCTTGGAGAGAATTAGAACTAGCAGTAAATGGTTGATGCGGGGCTTGAATTGTAAGTTCACCATAATTAGAAACGTGATTGACCAATTGATTCGGGTCATGAGCCATGATAAACTTAGCTCTTCTGCTATAATCTCCAATTTCAGTTTCAAAATTTCGAATAAACTCGACGGTTTTCAAAAATATTTCCTTGGCATCCATCAGTTCACTGTCCTCCCATTCTACGTCGTCGGTTTGCATGTGTTTATCTGCCAGATCACAATTACTTTGAATGTTAGATATTTCAATCTCTAAGTTCTCTTTGAGGTTGCATAAATTTTTTAACTCTGTTGTTAAGTATCTGTCGATTTCTCCTCTAAGATGGTCCGTACGGTCCTTCAAGGATTTGGTTAATCTGCGGTAGATTTCATCAACTTCTTCGGAAACCGATGTGCAGTTATTTTGTAAGGTCAGCATGTTTTTCTCTACACCGGCCAGCATATCTGATAATCTGTGCAATGCCCGTCTTACCTGTAATACAATCGACGTTTGAAACAGGAGCAATAATTAAAACTTAATTGTTTATATTTTACCTGATTGTTAATACGGGAAATTTCTCTTCTCAGAATATCCATATGAGCGCTTTTGCAGTCCGAACACACATCCTTCTCGCAATGAACACACGATGTCACGTATGCTTTTTCCGAACATACACCACATCGTTTCATTGTCTGTCCACTTGTTGGATCTGGTAACTCTCCGGTTATTTCTATATGGAGTTCCAAGAAACGCTGAAGGGTGACGTTCGTCGGATATCCTTGAACACCGTTGTACGGTATACGGTGTTCTGCTCGACATTCCGGACATTTTACCTACAATTTAGTATTATATTTGAATTGTACTATTAAATGTAGATTTATAATATGTGTATATAATATAGGTGTATGCAAATATTATTATCAACAGAGGCACAGAACAAAAATAATAATACGAAATAATAAGGATTCATGTATACCTGTCTTCGAACATAGTCTACTAAACCATCCATACACGGTTCCATGCAAAACGAATGTTGACATGGCAGCAATTTCGGATTTCTGTATCGATCCAAACATATTGCACACGTCAGCAGTTGCTCGAACTGTTCCATTTTATCTTACTCTTTGAATCGAGTGTTTTCCACTTACGCACTAGAACAACAAAAATTTGACGGTGAATTAATATTGTTCGTGTTCTAATAATACACCAACAAAGTGGTTTATTTAATCCGAATGTTAAAAAGTAACACAGAAATACCATTAGCTTGATGATAATGTGTACATTTCCATTGCTTTTTGCCCCTTCAGGCCTCAATAAATTATACAATAATTTAACGATGGAGTACAAAGTACATTTATATTAATTAAACCTTATTCAGTAAACATCTGCATACACATTCGAACATATAGTATTCTGGCCTGTAATCCCTTCTCTCTCTCTCTCTCTCTCTCTCTTTCTCGCTCTCTGTTTTCCATACCTAGTTTATTACTTATAAATTATACAATACCGATGGTTAGTTATGTACGCGCAGAACGGTAGAAAATTACGCCAATACAATCCGATTCTTTTCCGTTTGTAAAATTATCACGATACAAAGCGTCTGAAACAGTTGGTCATCGTATTTTTAGCGTAGCACACGGAGCGGTGGCAAACAAGTTACTGAGACTAAGAACATAAAATGTTCTGTAGATACGGTTACGAAGTCTCTATAAATAGACGTGAATCCGATCGTAGCGTTCACCTTGTCGCATCCAGTCCCTTGAATGAATGAGTATCATCCGTTAAAGTGGGTGTTTATTTCGATACAAAAAAAACTAGTAAAACGTACTGCGCAATGTACATGCATTTTTAAATTCGGACGATCTCGAAGTCTATTTGGATACGCGCGTGTGTATCCATCGCGAAACGATGTAATGCGTTGACCATTGCGCATTCGATGTGGGACTGTGTGTGAACGCTGCCGATTACGGTATTTTTGGCATCCGCGTGTGTGGGTTAGATATACTATTATTTTCGGCGCTGGCATTTGAAAATTTCGAATAACACTGTTGAGTTGTTATGTCATCTGAAACTTTCAAGGATTTGCATTCGGAAATAAAATAATTCCGCTATCGTATGCATACAGTTTATAAAATATATTCGTTTGTAATGTGATGGTAATATTACTAATAATAATAATAATAATAATCATAACAATAACGATAATTATTATGAAAAAAATTATAAAAAAAATCTTTCGAAACGCATCAAAAAATAATACAAAAAGGCAGTACCTACAAAGACTTGAAATTAAAAAAGAAATAAACCTCCGTTTTCACTCGAAGAATGCATTAGTAATATTTAATAATTTGTTTAGTTGATGAGTCTGTGGGAATTGTTGCAGCTGTGTGTGTTTGTTCCTGGTTCTACGGACTTTATTATTGACAATTTTATTATTGAGACCCGTGTTGTTTCTGTCGACCCATTTCCCGCGTGTATCCGCCTCCCCCATTTCTTTCATTCCGTAGATAGCAGATTAGAAATTATCATCATTAATGTTGATAAGATATGATTTGTTTTTTCGTGCATATTTCGAAAAGCTAATTTAAATGCTTCTTAAGTCTATACATTGTGTTAAACAAATTACATATTAATATGTAATCCAAGTCTTCAATAATTCAAATTATTACTTTTTTTTAGCTTGGAAAGATCAATTGAATATTAATTTAATAATATACTATAATTTTTTCATAGAGAATATAATAATAATAATAAACAATAAAAATATGAACGAAATAAATATTGTTTGAAATTGTTGACATATTTATTAGATAATTTGTTTACTTTTTACTAAAAACGGTAGTTCCATTTATTGATAACCAAACCCTTTAAGTTTATAATTATTATACCTAATATACATAATTAGATACTTATAGTTTTTTCTGTAAAAAAATGAACAAAAGTAAGAAAAAATAAACATTTGTTTTTTTAACTAAAAACAATGTTTTAAAAAGTTTATGTTTTTTGTGATTTTAAACATTTTAAACTTGAAGACATTTTATTAAATAGTTTAAAATAAGTTTTAGCGTTTTTTTTTAAATTAAATGTTTTAAACATGTCAGACGTGATTTTAAAAAGAAACAACACGTGTAAAAGGTACAGTTGCAACCGAGACAAAACAAATTTAGAATATTGATTTTAAAGAATACTACATACCCGCTTAGCACAAAATAAATTGAGCGTAGACTAGATTTTCAATACACAGTACAGGAAATTACGTCAATTACTATTATTTTTTGTAGCTTGGGTATTTCATGATGAATTTAAAATATTTTCAAAAGATTTGCTCTCGTCTTTTATAGGTATAATAATATATTTTAAATAAAATCGCTCGATGAATAGACGAAACTGTACTAAAATGTTTTAAATTTTAAAGCGTACATTTTTATTTATTTAGTATACAAATAAATGAAAGATTGGAATAGATAGTTTGTCGTGTAAACATATTTATTTATCGGTTTGGAATTTTTTTTTGTTTTGATAAACGCATGCAATGATTAACATATGAATTCGTATAAACTTTGTATAAACACTTAGCTTTTGTATCGTATCCGCAAAACGGATATTTACATTTTCACCAGGCACCGTTTGTTGGGCAACGCGGTATGGTTATATCTTATTTCCGATGAAAAAAACTATAAAAATTCTAGCTTAACAAAACATAAGGAAAATCATTAAAAATCAATTTATTAAATCGTATCGGGATAAAAGTCTGAAAGTACTTCGGACACGCGTAATACAGTGCCACATACGAAACGCATTCGTGAAGTTCATAATCACTTACTGTGCCATCGGAAACGTAATATTGAAACAGACAATTTCCCGACTTCCCCGTACCCATAGGCTTACTGCGATCAATGCAAGACGCATTTATTCTCAAGGAAATGTGTCGTGAAAAAGAATTACAATGAAAAATTACTACACCCAGTGTCCACTTAAGTGGCCCAACATGACGATTACGAATATAGCATTTGAACGTTGCACGTTATATTTCGTCAGTCGTTCCCGTTGGCCGTGTGCGATACACATCAATCATACGTTTCTCCTTCGGTCCCTTTCGCCGTTGACCGCATCGACAGTGGATCGTAGTAACGGGTGCACGTGCCCACGCGAATCCGCACGTCCGCGTCATGCACGCGGACGTTTACGAATATTTTTCTCGCCATCGGAAATTTTAAAACGACATTCTAACGAGGCCGCCGGTTGTGCAGGTGCGAGCGCGAGACGGTGAGAAAAAACGCTCTTGGGAAAACAAGCGGATCGTGAACACGTGCTCGAAAACCGTCTCGACCTTTTTAGCGAATCTCGAAAACTCTGCACCATGGCCCCGTCCCTGCGAGTCGATAGGTACGCGCGCGCCACATTATTCTCTAATTCCGAGCATGTGTCGTACATCGGTTCTCCGGGAGAAAGTATATATATATATATATATATATATATATAAGTACGCGTGCACGTACGATCGCGAGCGATATCCGACGCACCTGCGCCCGTTTCTCACATAAAATAACCTATCCGGCGGATTTGGTGCGAAACGTTTCAGTCACGCGGAATTCAAATCGCGTTGGATTCGAATTCAGTGCGTCCGCTTTCCGTTCTCCTTTCGCAGTCGTCTCCGCCGACGTTTACAAATCATTCGCGCGCGCAATCGCGTATTACACGTGCGCACGTCCCGTCTGGCTCGTCCCGTCCGCCTGACGTGCATATCATCATTACGTCGTACCTGCCCCCCGCGCACAAAGCGACGACGAAAATGTTATTCCAATCGCGTAATGGAAAATCGTTCTTAACCGCGGGAAAATCATTAATATAAATATACAGAGGCGCACCCGTAAATATTACATCAACCGGCGTCGTGACGGTCGCGCGATAATGCCATTTTTCATTTATCCAACGAACGAGTTGTTCCCCGAAAGCCGACTGCCGCGTTATCGGTTTTACAGCTTAACCCCGAGCGAACGCAATTTACAGCCTCGTGAACTTTCGAACTTTCACGTCCGCGGAACACGATTAGGTGTTATCCGCTCGGATTAGGTACGGGTGGTTAGATTCTTTTGTTGATACACACACACACACACACACACACACACACACACACACACACACACACACACACACACACACACCTATACAGACCGCAGAGGACTTTTATGGTTGCGGTATTCAATTATTGTGTAACGGTGACGACACACCGGTTAGGTTGTTGTACATGCAACATGGTAGTTTAATGAGTTAAAAACTGTGATTCCATCGATTGATAAAACTGTCTATAGTGTTCAGTAGAGATACGTTTTGGCAAAATTAAATAAAATACTATTTTTTGTTACAATCGATTTCTCGCTTACCAACTCTACAATTTTAAATCTTGATGACTTAAATAAACACGTTTTATTGTAAATTTCAAATGATGAATAAACGATTTGTTATTCAGAAAATCGTAAAATAAACACACAAGAGTTTGTATGAATATAAATTAAAAAAAAAATAAAAAAATATGCTTATTGAATAACTGATAACCAAAACTGGTAATACTTTTGTATGAGAATATTAGTACTTGTGATTTTTAATGCTTGAGAAAAACTCCATCATTCTACCACTATAAAATGTATAGAATCATGTTAATAGTAAATATTTGTAAGATTGAAATAATCATTAGAGTATTGGTTTTTTTTATTTTTTTTTGATGATTATGAGTAAACATAATAAATATGGTAATATGGTGATATATATATATATATATACATATATAGATAACATCTTGATTTCTATTTAATTGCAAGGGAAATTAGTTTAAGATTTGAAACTTGTGCGTAATAACTAGGGCCCGGATTTCAATGCAAAGTGCATATTTTTTTGGTTGATCAAACACAATGCTCTCTAAAAATATAATTCATTTCATGTAATGAGGGTTTCAAAACTACAAATTTTATTTTGCATTTTTTTTTTTGCATACCTCGACGTTTTTCATTTTTAGTATTATTGGGTCATTTTGTTGGCTTTTAATGCATATTTGTTTGATATATTAAACAAATTTAGCCTATTCCAAATAAAAAGATAAATTATTTTCTTGATATTTAAGTAGGTTTATCGGGTTTTTCCACATACATTGTCAATCTTTAATTTACGATTCAGTTTTTATCTTATTTTAATTTATTATTGGCTATGGACCGTCACCAGTATTCGGTCAAATAACAAATAATCAGCATTAGTTCATATTACCTCGCGGACGTTGCTCGTATTACGTATGAATGTGATTTTAATGTATTAAATAGTGTGTTAAATAATGCCCAAAATAAAAAAAAAATATGTGGTTTTTAAGGTTATTTTTTCATTTTTAAGTTCATTTTTGTGGTAAAATGAATTTTTTAAGGACATTTTTCGTTATTTTTTAGAGCATATTTGTTTGGTTTTAAGTGAATTTAAATCCGGGCCCTAGTGATGACTAAACAAATATATTCGTTTTGTAGCGTTTCTATAATGAGAATAAGCTAGAATAAATCGGTCATCATAATCTATAAATATGCTGTCATGTTTTAATCAAAATCTCAAAAGAAATAAAACTAAAAGACATGTTATTATTTTCTGTAGTTACATTTTTTTAATTAA